CCACTTTCTGCTTGTTTGAATGTCTCTGACGCGGAAGAATATTTTAAAAATTATTTTTTATATGTGGCTTATGGTCACTTTTCTGTCGAAATTGCATTCGCTTAGCTTTCGTGTCTTAAGGAAATGTTTAGTGTACAATAAGGGCCAATCCCGCACGGGGTATTATCGACTGCTTTCCCGAACAGGAGAAGTGCTGTGGGTGATGACCGAAGCTAACGTGATCGCTCAGTCATCTCGAGGACTGCGGAATCAGTACGTGGTATGTTGGCATCACATGATTAGGTGAGTGAATCAGTGAACGACTTAGTTGGCCATGAATGAAGCTCGCCATCTGGTGTTTTAAGCACTCTGAGTTGTCAGAACTTTATGGTCTCCTCTCCGGGTGAATTGCTGGTCAATTCGAGTGCGGCGAGACTTTGGAGAACGGACAAAGTACTGGGACACGCGTTGACGGACAGCGGTGTAGATTTTACGAACAAGGTTCTGAGTCTTGATGCAATGCGTACGTTCTGTATGGCATACTGCGGATTCAACTTTTTCACAGTATTACTTTCAGAACCTGCGACATTAAAACCGATACAGTCTTGTACCTACGAATGCGAGAAAAGCGGTACCGTTGATGCACTGCTCGAAACGGACATCAGCTGCAGTTGTTATGGTTGTCCATCTGCGAAAGTTGTCGCAGAAGAGCCGAGTCTCACGGCAGAAAAACAAGTATTGTCGGCCAAACACGTAGACCAATGCATATGACCTCATGTCTTGTTGCAGGATAAAATTTTGACATCGGAACTCAACCTTCCACAATCAGTACAAAACAAGGACCGAAATTCGATGCTACGTCCCAGCGATCAGCTGATTGACCTTAACTTCTTGATGCCGTTTGTGAAGTACAAAGACCTCGTTCTGTTGAACAGCAACAACGTGGAAACCTCGTTCGATTGTCAGCCGTAAGCACAGCGTAATTTGTCCATAATCGTTTCCCAGGAACCTACTAATGTTTTAGTGGTCATAAATTATTTCAGCACGCATGAATATCAGTTAGTACTTTCGATTCTTTCCGCCCTTGTCAAACAATGTCTCCAGCATTCCTGATCCAGTGCCATCGGTTTGAGCTTCTGTAGAAGATAATTCAAGTCTGAAGGCTAGTCTTTTGAAAGACTTATCACATTTTATTCTTTGCGGTCCCTGAGGTTTTCGCCCAGATGATTGAGCAAGTAGTTGCCGTTTCGCCTTCCTTCCGTTAAGCATTCGCAATAGGGCCGAAACTATCGCAGCTGCGACGTCTCAATCTTGGAAAGCAGCGGCTGTACACTAACTTTATCTCGAATATCTGTATTCCGAACCAGGTCGAGACTACTGAGACCATGGATTTGTCTCGGAACTATCATTTCGGTCGTTTTTACCCTTGATCAAAGTTTTTAACTCATGACCGTAGATGAGCATCGGGATGAAGATCAATTTTTTCCGGGCCTGTCGTTCAGCGTTCTTAAATCTCTCTTCCTGCCATCTCAAAGGCTGTAGACGGTGCACAAAAATACCTTTTCTGCCGTCAGCAAATTTGAATCTGGCACATGACGGAAATTTTCCCTGGAATTAGTTTTTTCTTTGGCCGGAGTTTTAGCTGCCACTTTACGCGCTTCTTTGTGCTTGAAATCTCTTTGCTTTCAAGCCACCTCTTGAATGCACCCTTCGTCTCGGTGACGGCCATTTGAATCTCTCATGTCCACTAGGAATTTTTTTCCTGATTTCCAGGCGGCGGGCCAATCCATTTAAAACCGCAGCATTTAGCCGCATGCCTGAGTAAGCCGCTCTTCAACAGCTTCCAAGTCGGCGGTCATCATTTAAATGAGTTTTAGACCGTCGTGCTATGTTGTTTGCAAGTAGGTAATTACCATATCCGCGCAAGATACAGTATTTCATGTGATTTTCTGGTTCCTTCTGCCGCCAGGTCTTCGTATGATACTCCGATTTTTACAGCGTTCCGTGCCAACAAGGTGGTGATCGGTTGACACCTCTGAGCCTCTCCTAACGGGATTGTCCATTACAAATGGTTGTAAGTGAGACGATGCGCTTATCAAATAGATTACTGTCTTCTTTACTCAAGCTTCCTTATACCAGATACAGCTCATGAGGGTGTGCTGCAATATTAATCAATTTCTTGGCACATAATCGCATCACGCCCATTTAAACGGTTTGCCATTTACTACCTGCTGGTTTGTATACTTGCAGCGCGTAACTCCTAGTTTGTTTGAAGTTATGGCTAATGGGCTTTTTCTCCATGTCGAGCCTCTAGTAGTTTTAAAAAATTTTAAAAATTCTTATTGACAAGTTTAGCTACCGTATACATTAGTTGGTTGCAGGTGCTTCATTACCGTGTAACCATGGTGTCGGGGAGCAAGGGACAGATGTAACGCCCTATACCCAGTTTATTTCGAACTGTGCTCTTTGTAATATACCGTATGTTTAAACGAACCTATTTTCCTTTGTTTACGCGATATGCGGCATTACTTGTTGATGGCATATTCCCAGAATCAGAAAATTCATCCACAGTGTGTACAGGTACAACCGGCTGAGCAACTACGGATAACAAGCCGTTGTCCTACGTAGAGTACGGTTAGCATGGTACTCTGATGCGGCTGTGTCGGAACGTGCAGGACAAATGACCGTGGTGTCTCCGCCTGCGTTTTAAGCCTACGCTTTTCATTGGCTTATTGTATATCTGGCTAGCAATCAACGTAATATTTAAACCGATTAACAACTGTTTCGCTTATGTGACTATCTCTGGATTTCTGTTCTCTACTTTCAGGTCAAAGAAGGAATGTATAGGCCGAGATAGTAATGTGTAGATCAGATTTCTTTTTTCTACTTTTAAGCCCGTACAAAGAAGGAATGTGTAAATCGAGATAATTAGATCGTGTCATTTCCCTCGTTTTATTTCATCCATAAGCCATCATGAATTTGCTTCTTGTTTTCGGTTCGATGAACTGATAGACATTTGGTTTGCTCTGAAAAATTTTTTTAGGTTGTTTTCTGAGCTACTTGACAATGACATGGCGGAAGGCGACGAGGAGGAGAAAAGTTACGAAGCTGGTCGATCGTGGTTGTCAGTGAAGCAAGGCATAGACTGCAGTATTAAGAACTTAAAAAGGCACCCGTGGCTGAATTGTCCTTTGGAACCGGTGTCACCCTTGCCACTGCCAGAAGACGAGGTTGAGGATTGTGGGGCGGTTTTAAATTCTGAACCACCGTTTTCCTCAAGCCGCTACATACTGTGCGAAAAAATTTTTAACCGCTTCAATAACGTGAGCTATTCGTCATTTTTTACCGATACCAAGGATGTTTCGCTGCCATACCACTGCCCTTCTGATTGTCTTCTGGATTATGCCTCTTTTGGGGACGACCAGGATTCGTCGTATTCGACGGAGAATCTGGTCCAACAAGATGGTCCCCCAGAACTTATAAGCCTTGAAATGGCTGACCAGTTAGAGAGCTCGATTTGCCATTACGACCCCTCACCAAGTTCCTCCTCGGCAAAAGCGACTGCCATCAAGGGGGAAGTTTGGAAACGTACTGATACCAACCTCAGCCCCACGTTGAACCCCCTGCAGCCTTGTTACTACTCTGGACAAGGGGAAACCACCATAGACGAGGGGCTGGGCGAAGAATGGCGGAAACCTTTTCGCAACGTGTCGTTGTATGTCAAGAATCCGCAAGAATTTCGTTCTAATCTTATAAAGGAGGCTCCTTTGTAGAGGCATAAGCTGTCATATTAGCAGAATACTGGGTTAGTACATCCTTGTTTCCTCACTGCTCCCGGTGAGTCGATCAGTGTCGACGTTTGTTGAAAATAATTTATGGTTTATTCTGTTTGCGTTTGTAGTTTTTGAACGCATATGTTATTGTTCATGATGAAGTGTTGTGTTGTTGCAATTCGTGCATCTGTGTTATGATTTGAGTCGTCTGGAGGCACGATTTTTCGGGATTTATGAGAACCTCATTTTGGTTGCACCTCGGAGAAGAAATGAACGTCGTTTTTTTGACCTTGCTTGTTGGACGGAATTGCAACACGAAATTTCAACGATCAGTTTAAGATTTGTTGTTGTATGCTTCGATGGCTGTTGTTTTTACTCTATGCTGTGATGAATCAAATTGCCATTTTGTAAATGGTTAAAATGGGGCCAATTGGAACCAGCTGATTCCATTCTGTTTCCATTCTTTGGTTATGTGCAAGGAATTGATGCATTTCTGACTTTGGTCTTGTTTATTGTACTATACACAAATTTCTGTGCGTAAGTGAATTTGTATTTTGCACGTTGCTTTTCTGACAGTTTTGGTACGAAAAATATGATTTCAGAAAGTTAATGTTGTATAACAGTATACGACCGCAATTATGCCTATTGTCGATTGTTTAATATGGGTTGCTTTCTATTAATCCAGTCATCATATTCTGCTTGGGGAGCATCGTTTTTAGCGAAGATTTCATCATTTCCTTTGCAACCTAAAGTTCTTTTGCTTGCTTTAATCACATTGTTCATTAACCTGATTACTTGTGCCTAACTACAGGTCCTGAAACAATTCGTCATAACGTGCTAGGGGTATGCAGTGTATTGTTTAGACCTCTGCTCCATACGTAGGAGGTTCGTATAGGTGTCTTTGACCGTAGGACCATGTCATATACTCTGAATTGAAAATGCGATTTGGGACTTGAACTAGGTTGCTTCAATAAGAGCAGACGCTATGACATTAAAGGCTTAGACATAAGGGAGTCAAGTTATGTTTAGCGACCGCTTAGGATTTGTCAAGCTTTCACAGTACCTTTGCAACAGTGCTCACCATTGCTCTCAACCGAAGAAAGACGTTAAACGAAAAATCGTTAGACTAAGTTATATCGCTAAATTTGTTGAGAAATTTTTCCTATTTATGGTCGCCTAAACTACTCATCCATTCACGGAACATTTTTAAAATGCTCCATGACAAAATATTGAAGGTACCATGGATGAGTACGTTTGGTATCAATAAATAATTTTCTGTTTCTGCAGGTTCTCAATTAAGGATAATGCGCATTTAATTAGAACTCTGGAATTCAGAAAATTCATGTTTATAATTCGGGTAAAAGTTCTATTTTTAGGTGGCATAGAGTTCAAATAAACAAAATCGCCTGATTTTATGATCGCTTGCTCTGAGAAACGGTTAGAAAATTTAAACGGATCTAACTGTAACAAATGATTTGCATCGTAAACTGGTGATTTGGGAGTTTGCCACTAAATCTACCAGATATAATATTCAGTTACACTTGTCACAAAATCAAATGGAACGATCGGTCAGATTCCATAACCCTGAAATGGCGACACCGTTGCACATTATACTTGAATCCACCAGAGAATAGAATGGTTCGTTCATCAACAATTTCGCCCCCGTTTTCTAAGTTGTCGATGTTCTAATGTCCCGACAATATCAGTACCATTTATTGTGTATATGAATCAACTTCCCATACTAGACAGAATGGCCGCAGCTTCAGCAAAACGACAAGTTTGAAAGCTACATATTGAACTTCCCTCTCTCTTCAGGTTAACGATGTCCTTGGCCTGATAGGGATTCCTCAAACTGATAGACTGTCTCGTGCTTATCACGCCGCAGTTCAGGGAGCGTCATCTGGTTTGCCAATAACGATCAATGGTCGCACGTTGCAAACTGCAATATGTAGGTTTTAATTGCAGTGGTCAAGTTTCTAATATCAGATTTGGTTGTGGAATGACAGGAAGCAAAGTTGCAAATGGTAACAGTTTGTCCATGGGCAAAATTTTATGCTAGAAATATATTTTGTCAAAAATCTTTCTATCTTCATCTAATAGTTAACTTTGTCCGCTAAAAATTTGACTTAGAAATAAATATGTCAGGGCGTGATGGTAAAATTCAGCAAACCAAGGTTTTGACTTATGCATTTTTTCGAACACTTTAACTTCTACCGTCCATAGTCTGCCTATTACAAGTATAATTGAACCTTTTGATCTCACACGATTACTGTTTGCCTCTCAAAGTGTTGTGATTGTAGTATGCAACTCATTTTGTAGTGTGTGATGATATTAAGTTTATCCGTTTTAAATTTTGACTTCACTATATTCCAGTTTTTCTTCTTATGATATGTTCAGCTAAAATTTTGCCGTGCGATTTTAAGCAGATTTGAAGGTCGCAAATTACGAGATCCTTAAAGCTACTAGGCTTTCCAAAGTTATTCTTAAAGCTATAAGAGAGCAGTTCGCCTTAAAAATATAATGAGGTGTTTAACTAATGATACTTTCGAGAAGTTCTTCCGGTGTCTTTCAGGTTTTTCAATCGTTGGACTGCTGTTTCGGCTATTGCGAACATGCACAACGTGCTATGCGGAATGATCAGTAATATTTATTTTAACGTGCTAAGAAGAGAAATATAGTTGTAGTCGTTTAAATGTGCTTCATTGGTAGCTGTTATATTCCTTGCTTCTGTCAATATATAAATTTTAGTTGGGGAAGTGAGAAAATGTTTCGTTGGTCATGCTGAGTCTTGAGAATATTGATGATCGACTGTATTTTAATTGTTGCTTGTGTAAACATTTTTTACTGGTTATACTAGTATGATTGCAAGTCTTTGAGATAATTCAGTTTTTAAGTAATTAAGTTTTGTCACTTTTTTGTATTGTTGCAGATTTTAGTACTTTGAGATATTGTTCGAAATAAGTAGCAAATTTAGCGAACGCCAGAACAGATATATGCATAAGCTGCATATTTTTTAGTGAGTTATGTATATTTCTTGTCGTCATACCTATGTTTACTATAAGCTTGAAATGTTATTGACTGTGAAAAACCGTTTTCAAGACCAAATTGTTATTCCGTGACTCAGACCGTTTTTTTTTTGCGTCACTTGTTGCTGAACAGAAAAAAACATGCTCTTTTCATGTTATGGACTTATTGAAACAAGTTTAGATTTTAGTACATCAGTGCTATTATTAGCCCAAAAATATCTGAAATGGTTTCGGTCGAAGCACCCGATCAAATGGCTGCTTTCGTAATTGGTTTTTGGTATGTCTTTCGAGATCTCCATTGAGCGTTGATGCTCTTGCCGTTGAAATTAGCGTTTTAATCCTCCACAGCTGCTGCAGTGTCTTCGACGATTGAGTCTGGCGAAGATGAAATTTGTACTTGAGCTGTTCTCAGGTCGTTTATTCTTTCGTTGGGTTAAATTCATTCCCTGCCTGTTCCATTTTTTAATTTATATTAATATTTGCATTTTGTTAAAGATCCGTCGTTGTGAAATTTGGCTTTGCTGGTTTTAATGCAAACCAAAAACTTTTTGTTTGTTTTAGTCGTTTCGTTTGTTGTTTGAGTAGAATCACCAAAATTTCAGAATGTTATAAATACCGTAGTTTTATCAACATAGTATTAGAGTGAATAACGAATGACTCCACCAAGACCAGATATCGTGGCGTATTGCACTGTTCACTTTAGCACTGCAAGAAAATAGCGTTAGTTATGTAGTATAAGGTATAGCATGTTTCGAAATGTTAGTAAGATGAAAAACGCTTGAAATCTATACTTACAGGCATTTTATGTAACTGATTTTTCAGACTAAGCGCTTTCCTATAAAGTGATTGTTCTATGGCGGATTGAGTTTGGTCCGAAATGTCAGTGTCTTGTGTAGAATCTTGTAAGTTAAGATTTTACGTTTTTTTCCGTTTGTGTCTTTCTGAAACATGTTATCGTTTATCGCGTACACAAGTTTTATACTCTATTTATTAGTTGCGGTATGTATCTAATAGTGTTATTTCCACCAGGCATGAATTTAGCACAGAATTTAAGTCAGATTTCATTCAGGTTAAATGTAGTAATACTGATAATTCAGCTGTTTTCAAATATGCTTAGGAATTCACGTTGTGATTACGCCTACGGTTGGACGCATTCGTTATGAACTACTCTAAGTGCTGTCGCAACAACTGATACGCTGAAATTTGTAAGAAATAAATTTAAATTGCCAATCATTTTAATTTTTAGAATTAGTATTTTCTTCATATGGCTGAAATGATGCAAAATTCAAGGAAAAGGAAGCTTCCTGATTTCGAGGACGACCTTGCAAATGTCGAATTCGAAACTTCAGAGGATGTTGACGTGGTCACGACGTTTGATCAAATGGGATTAAGGGAAGAGCTGATTCAAGGCATTTATGCCTATGGTAGATTGTTATTGATTAACTGCATGGTCTTTTCATTCGTGACGTCATGCTCATTTTTAGGTTTTTCGAAACCGTCAGCCATTCAGCAGAGAGCTATAAAGCCAGTTATTAAGGGCAGGGATGTAATTGCACAGTAAGCGTTGAATTTTTTTAACGATTTGTTATTAATAACGTTGTTTAATAGAAATGCGTAAAATTTCAGCTTATCAGAAGCTAGCGAAATTCTTGATAAGTTGAAATTTAATTTATTCGCTTAAGTTAACCACATCGGATAGTACCAAACTGGCCGGAGTCACATACGAAAGACATTAAAAACAAGTATTAATCGAGTGCATAAGCATAATTTACAGCGAATATGTGACAAGTCGTTGTTATTTTAATATCCTCATCTGACGCTAGCAGGAATTATGCAGCTAATCTTGAATAACCAAGTTTTATGACATCTAATCGTTTGAAATGGTACTCGATTTGTATGTTTCGATAAACACCTATCCTTTGGAGTCGCGGACGAAGACGCGTCAGACAGTGTTTCAAACGTTCCCGATTCTGTGGCAGCGTTTAAGCGGTTTAAACGTCGAATGCAAGGTTTACGAGCCAGATTTTTTTAAAAATATATGTCCATTGTTTTTTGAGGCTGTTTTATCTGAGAAAGTCATGCACCGGTCTCTAAGTTCATTTGATGGTTGTCTCAGACCAGTGGTCGTTAACCCCTGCTCGTTCGTAACCAGGTGATACCATCGGACTTGCAGGATATTACACAGACCGCGTTATTTAAAGTTGTCTCTGTCGTTGTTCATTACGCTTCAGATTGCAGATTTAGGGAGACTGCAGTTGAGCACTGCGAGTATGGCTGCCTTCAGAATGGTGATCTTCGTATCGAATCTTGTAATTTGATACTTCCAGACGCCATGCAGCCTGCCGTAATTCGCTTTCGCACCGACTAGCTTCAACACCAATTTCACCTTCGTTAATCTCAGCACTGTTCCGATTTACTTGAAATGGTCCATCCCATATTATCCACTGACTGGCGGTCGCAGCGGACTCCTCCATAATTTTCATTTTCTTCACGTGGACTTGTGACCCCACTTCCATAGCACTGTTGCATGCACTTTTGGTGAGTGTCAGTATGCCACTTGCAGAGTCGTTCACCAACACGATGTCATCGCCGTACTCAAGGTTCGTTAAGAATACTGCAGAATGTCTTGTGCCGCGTCACTGACTGGCTGTCAGTCCTTTGTAATTGCGGACGACACCCTTTCGCATAGTCCTTCGTGATTTTAGGCGACCACTGAGAGAGCGCGTGACTTTGACAAGCTTCACTTGTCACTTGAACCAATCC